AATGCAGTATGTACTCACCCACTGGGCAGCCTTGGAGAAGGACCACTGGGGACTGGCTGCCAGGGGGATGAGGGTGTTGCAAAGAGTTTGTCCTATTCTCAGAGACGGTTTGTGCACACACGCGTGGGCACAGGCATGTATGCGCTCCCATGGGCGCAGTGACAGGGGAAGAGGGGAGGCAGTGCCGAAGGGGTTTTGCTGTAACCAGAGTGGGCAGTCAAGCCATGATCAGAGCACCTGCCAAAAGCCACCCCTCAACTGAACTGGGAAGGAGTACGTGAGGGATAGCGGCCAGATGAGCTGCTCCCCTGGGTGGTGTTGGCTGTACTTTCCCCAGAAGTAGCATATTTTGGGGATGGGACTGACTAAGCCCTCCCCAGGGCTCTGACAGTGTCTTGTGTCCAGTTGGCCACATGTTCTGCCATCGAAGCCGTGCCTCCCTGCGCACAACTGGGCTATTACCCAATTTCTCTTATCTGCTGCTTATCTCAGATTTCCTGCAAGATGAACTCTCAAGTGCCTCTGTTGTGCTGTTATTTCCCACCCTGACCGATTTATGGGCACAGGCATTCTTTTTTTTCCCTTAATGGAAAGTTGATCACCTACCCTCTGCAAATGATAGACCTTATCCCTGATCAATCATGTGGTAGTAAAGGAGGAGTATAAGGGGAGACGGACGTGCATATTTGCCCTGGGTGGTATAAGAGGACAGTGAGAAGCCAAGGATTAGAGCTCAGGTACCTAAAGTCTTAGTATAGTCAAATCTCTGCTGTATCCCTTTTCCTGCTCCTTTTCATTTGTTATTTCACTGCGTCATTGTGCCATAAAGTCAGAAACATCTGAAGCCTCCTCTGCTGTTCATATGTACTTAATCTTGCAACAGGAATGCAGCGAAAATCCATGAGCTGTTACTTCTGAGGCATGAAAAGGAAAGGAAATTACCATTGAATTACCTGGAGTTGTACAAGAATGAATGTTACAGAGTCCATATAAAAAATCCAGGCAGGTTTTCAGGTGGATTCAGGAGGTATTTGCAGAGTCAGCGGACTTAATGTTTCCTAGGATGGGTTGGTAAATAAAATTATACGTAACTTAATGGATGCTGCCATGTAGAAGATATCCCCAGTGGAAGCATTGAGAATCATTTTCTCTTTTACAAGACTAATTTCATTCATCTTTTTCTTAGTCAACTAACACAAAACTCCACTATTAATATTAACTAATACAAGCCTAGAAGGTCCTCTACTTAGTTAAGAGATGATCAAGAGAAAATGGTACTGTTAATAACCTTTCAAAGGGCACCAGATGCTCACAAACTCAGCAACTGAGAGCATGTACTTGTGTTTTGGTTTTTAAATTATTACATGCAATTTTAGAACAATTTGTAGTATAATTAGAATTTAGTTAAAGCGTGACTTGCTTTCAACATCAAACTGCATTTGTGCTTTGGAGACTAGGTGCTGTCTGGTTGGGCTTGTACCCAGGAGCTGGCTTGCAGGGGTAGTCGGCATCCGCAGGTGCCAGGATGAAATCAAGGGTTGCAAAAGTCCCCGTTCAAACCTGCTGTGTTGTGAAAAGAGCCAGCCACGTTTTTTGATGGCTTCTAATAATTCCATTTAATTTCTGGGGAAAACGTGCTCAGGTACTATGAGTCTTTCCCCTCTTCACACAGCAGGTACATACGCACATAAAAGCTTTCCTTGCCTTATTGGTAATGGCAACGCTGTTTTTTGTTCTAGCAATAACCCTGCTGGGCAAAGGTTCAGACCTTCACTGGTAATTCAAGAAGGACCTGCTGCAACGTTCCTTTTTATGTGATTTTAATGTGAGTGAGGTTTTCTTTTCTGTACTTGTTTACTTAATGCAATAACATGTGTCTGTTCTGCGGCTCCGTATGAACATTGTCAGTCTAGTCTGGCTAGACCCAATTCAAGCCCTCGTGGCTAATTTGGGCTGCATGGTAAAGACATACCAGAGTCATGTAGCCAGTCTGGCTAGATCTTTGATTCACAGCCTGTTTCACCTCAAAATATGGTTAAATGGGATAACTAGGGTCAAGGGTAAAGCAAACTCTGGGACTCTAGCAACCTAATGTAATGTGTCTAATTGAAAAGCTTGTCAGGTGTCTCACTAGGCATGCAAGCGTTGAGATTAGCAGCAATGCAATTATACTAATTCACATCTTAATACAAGTGGCAAAAGGTGGGAACTTTTTGGTATTTATAAAAGAATTTATTTCACTCTGGGAAGCCTTTTTTATGCTCTTACTGAAAACTGACATGCCTAGTCCAAAACTAGCTCTGGCTTGACTGTAAGCTTTAGTGCTACGCTTTCAGCGTTGACAACAGACTATAACAATATTCCAGCTTCAACATTTCCTTAAATTTGAGCCCTCACCTCTCACCACCTCCCCTTCCCTCAGCAAATAAAATCTGTAACTTTAGTAACCAGTTGCTCACAAGAGCGAATGAATATTGAGGATATTTTTCTACTTATCATTTGCTTAGCAATTAGAAGTGACGAATAAAGTCAGTAAAGTCACATCTCGTCTCCATACATCTCCCTTGACTCTGTAAACTGCTTGAATCAGTCATCTGTTAGCAAATTGTTGGGACATTTACCGGAGTAGCAGATGTAGCTGGGACGTAGCTGGAAGACTCATCAGCAGGTGCATCCCATCTTCTCATTCCTAAATGTCCAACTTTATAATGTACTAGGATGCTCCAGCTCCAGCACAGGTGTGTGCTCCCTGCGTGCCCAGGGAATGCATTGCAAAGTGGCTGGAATATTTCTGAATGCAGGTTCCAGCACAGCGAACCCTTGCTAACCCACATGGACTACATCTAACTTATAGGGACCCATATAGTCATGCGCCCAAAAGAGAAATGCAGTCAGTGCCATTGTTTTGTGTAGTCTCCTGTTTGTAATTGTGCACCTGAGCTCACTGTACAATGCATAAGGAAAATCAAGTACTTGAGAAACCCTGCAGGCAGAAGGAATGCAAACTTTTGTGGCTGTGGGGAAAGATCTCAGGATGTTTGGATGTTGTTCTGATTTTGTGGTTGTGTGCATACCCAACACCATCAATGTGACATCTGGAGAACCTTACTGATGGAGGTTAAACTGCTGTGGAAATTTAGGCTAGACTAGGGAAGAGTTTAGAGAATTTAATTTGGGATTTAGCATCTTGCGTGCAAGGATTCACTTCAACTGACATGAGATACCAGCAGTATGAATATCTACAGTTGAGCTAGCCACCATGGGGTCCCTTTACAGACAGTGGAATGAAGTGGGCACATAGAGGAAGAGACTGACCTCATCACTTTCAGACGTAGACATTTGAACAAGATGATGAGTGGCCTCAGTTCCACTGTCTGTATTTTCTCTAGGATGTACCTACGCAGAGAGGTACCGCAATGGTCAGATCAGATGTAGCTACTTAAGTTCCTGTGAATTCTGCCCAACTCCAGGAAAGAGTTCACCGCGTGGACGTTTGTCAAATGAAGTTTTAGGTATTTAATTGAGGGACAACTCCGGAGATCAGGTCAGCCTGCCAATCACCTGATCTGAGTCACCCTCTGGAAATACCTGTCTATATCCATTGACTACAAAGGGAACGTCGGGCAACTGTGCTTCAAACTTAATCTCAAATAGATTACATGGAATAAATCCAGACACCTGTATTTTTGGCTCCCTATCTAGCCAGGAATGTTTTCTTTCTCCGTCATTTTGTCCACCTTGTTGCTTGAATACATGGTCTACGCATATCAAGAACGCCTATTAGGTGCTCTAATGTTGACAGTGACATTCCTTAGACTGTAAAGTGGGAGGGAAATTTATCTTATCGAACTTCAGCCATTAGTCATCTAATCTAACCTCCTCATTCGAACTTCACTATCTGGCAGTAGTGTGATGCTGGTGCCCCCCTGGTTCTGAGACAGGCGTCCGATTTTGGGCAGGATCATTTGCCCTCTGGAAGCGTCCCTCTGCCTGCACCGACAATGGAGAGCCAGGTTTGCTAGAGGAGATTAGATGTTTAACTTTCAAGCAAGCAATCCGAGTACAGTAAAGCCACCTTCTGCCTCTTAGATTGCAGATGATCTTTTTGTTGTACATTGGTATCTTGCCTGGCACAGCAGGATGTTAGTACATGAGTAGAACTCCTGTATCTTAATACAAATGATAGCAATAACGTAATAATTATACTAAACTCCAAAATAGTATGTAACACAGCAGGTGTGCGGATCCTGGCTGTATCCCTAGTGTTCATTAGTCATGCAGTTAAACCTTTTTTCCCCTCCTTCTTCTCTGAGATTGCACAAGGCTAATTTTAAAATAGCCAACAAGATGATCGAAAATGAGTATACAAGTTAGCACTGAAGCAAAACGTCCAGCTGTTTCCTTCAGCCCATGCTGTAAATGAGCCTGCTTGTTCTGAGAGAAAATGCCACCAATACAACTTTAACTTATCAAGTTGCAAATGTCAGTGCTGTAACAACTGAATTTAACGTGGGTAGATGTTGAACAGCAGGTTACTGCAAGTTCAGCTCAAAAAGAAACCCTTCACTGCTATTAACAATTTTACTGTTCCATGAAAAAAGAAGAATGGGATCAAATAGTCATTATCTGAATTGGCCAGCAAATGCAAGAGTAGAGACCAGGCAGCTATCTATTTAAAGTAATTTGAATTATCTAAGGATAATTGAAATCCAGCGTTCATCCATTACTTTCACTTTCTGGTCTTAAATGATTATATCCATAGCTCTGCCTCACATTTATTTGGTGACCTATGAGACCTTCAGCTTTCCTGTCTGTAATAGGTCACAGTATTATTTTCCATCAAATTATAACACATGTAGTCACAGGTTCTTCTGATGCAATTGGCTTGGCTGTTTGACAGCTGGAAGGAAAGCTATTGCCTCAATCTTATCTGGGGCTATTTATACTCAGCTCTGCAACTTAACACTTTCTTTTATTGGTGTTGCTCTGTCTACCAAGAAAAAAAAAGGCAGTCCTCTTTTGCATGGGAGTATTGGTTTTTTTTCTTTTCCAACATGAGACACCAACACCAGCGGCTTTCTGAAAAAAAAGTGCAGTGTTGCAATGTATGTGTTTTAGTCACTTGGAAACAAGGTAAGCAAGATCTTACACTGTCCACAAGTTTCACCGGAAGATATTTTTTTCTAATGAGAGATCTGAAAGCAGTTGGCATTTGATTTAGCCCACAGCAGATGATTTGCGTAATAAACTGCATTGAACTTTTATTGCCACCTCTTAAAAGTGAGCAATTAAGGAAAAAAAAGAAAAGCAGGTCATATCACAATCAACCGCAGCTGTAGAATCGACACATTTCCCTGCAAAGCTAGCTGTGATGTAGATTATGGAGCCTTTTACTTTGGTCCCATGAACAGCATTCACAGCCACCTGCATCGGGGGCATGGAGCAGAAGTTTCTCTTTGTATTACTCAGTTAATCTTTTGTGTGTGTGTGTGGTAGGTTGCACATTCAAGGTATAGCTTTGGGACTGGTGTATCTTTAGAGAGTCTTAAGTGTGTGCTAAGGTGGAAAATCTCTGATGCTACTCCAGCTAGATTTTTGGGACTGCAGCAAGGAGCTTTTAGGATATGCTTTTTTAGTGGAGGAAAACCTTACAGGCTTATAGCAGAGCTAATTAGATGTTCAATTTCATCAAATGAGCATTGCTGCTGATGGGAGGAACCATATTTTTTTCCCAGCTGAAGGCTCTTGGGGTGAGGTGTAAGAGTGCCCCAGCACAGGGACAGACAGCGAAAATGTCCATTACTTCCTCATCACGTCAATACCAAATGGTATTGACGGGCTGTGATGTATGGTAACGTTGGCGTGAAGACCCATCGAGTGAGTATATACCTCGGCTTCAATTTGTCTCGCACAGCTCATGGAGAGGGAGGAGAAACAGTTTTAAAAATGAATAGAGAGATTTATTTCTCTTTTCTTCATTTTATTAGAAGGGCTTGTGCTATCAAGGGAATCTGTCATTTGGGTCATCTCTCTCCTTGTCAGTCCCGCAGTGGCACAACCGGAGAGAGGAGGAAGCAAGTGCATGTGTATTAGCTGAGCCACTGCTATCTGAGGGTCTGTCGTATGGGTCGTAGCTCTCTTCTGTTTTTTGTTTTGTTTTTTTCCTGGAAGGGACAATAGATAAAATTTTTTATTTGAATTTATGCTGATGGAGAGATTATTTGGGCAAAATTTATCACTGACTCCTGTAATTCCACAGAGGTGTGGCATAGCAGCAACTTACTAAACAAGCAAGACAATACAATATAATTTTATTAGCTACTGAACTTCAGAAGCCCATGGTATTCAGGAGGCTGGAGAATAGTCGGTTTCTCACAAGTTTCTCTTGAGATGATCAGTAAAATCTGATCATTTTTTCTGCAGGACCAGGAGTATTTCCTCAGCAGCCTTAGAAACGAACTATTACTACTTTTTCTTTCTTTAGGTATAAAAGACATAGCGATTACATATATCTGTAGTGTGTGTTAGGCCTAAACTTGAGCTTAGCCTCGGCTCAAAGTATATCTGGCAATCACAGGATATAGATGGAAGGACGCCTGTGCTCAGCCAGGAGCTGTAACCAGATGTCTGTGTCTGTGGTGCGGACACTTGTATCTGACCTGGGTGTCCAGATTCCCCTTAGAACCAGAGAATAGGAATGGGATAAAACCAAGGAGAGAAACCACAGGTGAGAAAGTGCTATCTTAGGGAAAATTTGAGATCTCCTAGACCTTCCTTTCCTCTCTTCATAAGGTCTTTCCCCCTTAGTAAATTCTTCCTGTGCTTAAAGCTTAAAACATTTTACAGAGGACATTATTTCCATGGTATTGAAGGGATAAATTGGGCCATGAAGGAGTAGTAACTGTCATGATGTGATAGTACTGGTCAGTGTCAGCCTGGAGATTGGCACTTCTGTCTTTCTCCCTTGGGACTTAGATCTCACAGAGCACTTGGGCAACTTCTTGTCTTGCAAGGATTTGTCAGATTGCACCAATGTTTTGGATCTCTGGCTCCTTTCTCAAACATTGACCCTATGGGCTCAGTCCTGCCTCTTGACTGCCATCCTTGACGCTATCAGGGCAAAGGGAGAACATCCAGCCTTGATCAGGAAAATCCCTGGCATTTGGCTGAATCAGACTGTTGCAGGATCAGGAATGAACCCAGATAGGACACATTAGGGGTTAACTCTGTTGCTCACTGGAGTTAGCAAAGCCTTCTCACCCATGCTTTCCTAACTGACTTTAATGTAATCCATGTCAAGAGGTTTGGCCAAGATTGTCTGAGCTTCATCATTTCTGAACACTTACCAGGTCCTTCAGGAACACTTTGTGCAGGAGTAAAATTCGGGGGTCATTAAGTTTCCCATTAGATCTCAAGGAGACAGGCTATCACTGGGGCAAATGAGACGTAGCACATGATTTCTGGGGGGTTTTTTGGTTGTTTTTTGTTGGTTCTTTTTTAATGTAAGATTTATTAAGGACTCCAAAACTCCAGACAAAAGGAGTTTCTTTTCCCACTATTGCACAAGAAATCAAAAGGTTAATCTTTGTGGGGTTTCAGGCTATTGTGTTGATTGCTCCAGCTTTTGTGAATCTTTTTGTTTATGGAAAACTTGCGAAATCATACGGAGGTGTTAAGTGTGGCAAAATGTCCATGTCTACTCTTTCACATACTTTATCCATCTACCATAGTCCTTGTCTCCCTGTCCTTCTATATTTTCTATTTCTGCACAAAATAGAAATAAAAAACAGAGTAGAAAAGGTTTGAAGTTAAGTGTCATAACTCCCGAATGATTCTCTCCCTACTCTCTGGCTTGCAGGCTATGTGACACAGGTTGATTATTGATACACCAGTATCATAGGATCACCATGGTGACCTGCAAAATGGAGATGCAAACCACAAGAACTACGAGTCTCATGAACTGCGCAGGCAAAGCTGAAGTCAAACTTTTCACTTCACTGTGACAAACCAAGATGAAGCACATCAAAACAAACTTTCATTCCAGAATAAAGGGAAAAGCTAGTTTGATTTGAGGAATTTTTTTGCTATTGATGTGGGGTGATAAAAAGAAAAGGATATTGTGGGGTTTCATGTCACTAAAGTAATGACATCCACATTTCATTACCAGCTTCTCTACAGAGATATTTCTTCAGCATGGGCTTTGCTGAACAATTTCTGTACTTTATCATGGAGTTCGCTATGCCCAGGTCTTATCCAGTGAGTCTGACCAGGTTTTGAAAGGCAGATTACCTCTAGAACTCCAGCAATCTGTTGAATTTAGAAGGCAATTATTTTGATATGTAAATGAAATGATGGGAGGAAAAAAATATTGGTTTTGAAATGCAATCAAGGCCAAAGATAAAAAAGGTTTCTCATATACTCTCCAATAATTGTTTTTTAAATGATGCCCTTGGCATGGGATACATGGCTGTTTCCTCAGCTAACTACAAGAAAAGCCACTTGTACCATTACCCCCAAGGCTGGGAGGAAGGTCATGTAATTCTCTTCTGCAATGGCAAAAAAATGGTGGTAAAATCTCTATTGAGTGCACTTAATGGCTCGACAGATTATTAATGAGATATGGAGCTTTTCAAATCTAATTCCCTAGGCTTATATCCAAGCCCTGTCAGCAGCTGGAGAAAGACCTAAGGAAAATTAGTTTATGTTCTCAGCCCAGTTCCTGGAAGATGAAAAGCTGCACGACAGTTGGCACTAATTAGCACTTGTGTTGGCCCTCTACTCCAAAATACTAGAGCCAGAACAGGCCAGGGAGAAGTGAGCTACAGCTGTGCTGGGTGGGATCTGTGTCTGCAGCAGGGGATGGAGGACCAGCCGCACTCTTCTCAGAGTGTCCCATCTTGGATATCCCATCTGGAGCTCCCTGGCTAGGTCGGTCCCTAATTGGGGAGCTGCTGCCCAGGCACAGAACACAAGGAGATCCAAAACCTCCTGGTTTCAATGGATTGAGAAAGGGTGGAAAAAGAAACCCAGACACAGGAAGGAAAGAGCCAGAGACAGGACCCACCATCTGACCCTCTTCTTCTGTCCTCCCTCCCTATGTTCTCCTCCTGTCCTACCTTGTGCTGGCCTCTGCTTCTGCTCTCCACCTCTCACCAGCTTCTCACCTGCCTGGAAATTATTGCAAGGTGCATTTTTCTGTTGTATCTATGAATACTAATTTTACCACTTGGGGTAGTGTCCTGGATCCTGCTCTGAGATGTATTTCCCAGCAGTGACTCCATCTTAGCGTAAAAACCAATTAGGATAATAAAGTTCAATATTGTACATGGAGTTTCTTTTGTCAGTGGCACTTAATCACTCAGTTTGGGCTCAGGCCAGCCTCCAGATCCCATCTGGAAAGCTGGAAGGAGAGCAGGATGACGTCTACAGCACTGCGGTCCCTCGAGTGGTCCAGCTGTATTTCAGCCATGCCTAGCTACCCTATCCTGGGTGGTGGTCCCACCGTGCCCCGCTGCATCGCTTGTTCTCAGTGGTCTGTCACACCAGCTCTGCCTTTACCACTGAAAGAAATGAAGACAGACCTTGGTGCACATCCTGAGCCAGAGCTTTTTGCTCTCTGAAATCCCCTGGCAAGGGGAGAGGTATCAAACTGATCTCAATCACGCTAGGACAGGCTGGAGAGTGTTAGGCATCTATCTGATTGGCTGCTCTTATCCTGTGCTAATATTACTTTTCTTTGGAGTCTTTTATCTTTAAATAGTAATCATTATCTGTAAAACAAATAAATAAATCGTAATTCTCTCTAAAAGCTACTACACCACGTTTAAGAGTGGGCAGTCCAGCTACTTAGAGACCTCAGCCACTGCATTAATGCAAGTGAATGTCCAATCTCTTCTTTCTCCGTTAATCTTCTTTAATCCACCGAGGGCTTGTAGTATTTCCAATTAGTGGTCATTCAATAATTTCTTCATTTCCAAAGAGGCAGAAGTCTCAGTCTGACTGGCAGTGCAAGCTATGGCACTGGCTCACTGAACAGAGCTTAGGTTTCAGATTATGGGAGAAGAGGGAACAATCGTTAGGTCAAGGGAAATACCTTGCTGGCAAAGGCATATAAATGTCATTCAGCTAGCAAAAGTTAAACCAAAGTTCTAGGAAGTCCTGGGATTTGTTTCAAAATCACAATGCTCAACAATGTTTGCAGGTTCTTTTTACTTGACCTTTATTTTCTGAAGCTTTATGCAGCAGGCACTTCATCCTACTTAACTGCAGCCTTCCAGAAGTTAAATATCTAGCCTAAGCCCTTTATAGACTGTAGAAAGAAACAAGCACAGCCTGATCCACCTACCTTAGAAATGTATCCTGTCTTAGAGGGGAATGAAAGTTGAGAGGATAGGAGTCCTGCTGACTGTGTTAGACTAGCTGCTTAAATTTAAAATTAATCCTACGCTGACATTATTTTCGTATCATTATTAGTTTAGTCCAACTAGGTCTGATGCTGGAGAGAAATTTCCCTTGGAGCTGTTTTCAAGCCAGGCAGCAATATTAGACAACATGTTCCTTTAGAATAAGTTGTCTATTTATGCATAGGACCGCAGCAATACAAGAGAATGTGATTCAATAGCGAAAAATATGCTCAGGTATTTCTCACTTCCAGTTTAATTCTGTTCAAGTTTATCCTGGATTTCTATACTTTTTAGGACAGCGTTATTAAAAGATAGTAATAAAAGCCAAAAAGACTCTTGGGGTGGTTAGGACGTTAGAATAAGGGTCTTGCAGGGGTTTTTCACTTTTGCCTCAATCCAGAGCTCCTGGACTCATCTGTAAATAAAAGTGTAGCTCTTCTGTCAGTGCAGTCTGTTCCTTTGGGGTTTTGTCACAGGTCCGTAAAGTGTTTTAAAAAAAAGAAAAATACACACAGCTATAATATTGGTATTTTGGGAAGACCCGTGGGAAATCTGAGGAGCTCAGTCCTGGCTGTGAACCAGGGGCAGCTGAAGCATGGGGCCAGCTCTGAGGACAGAGACCTGAATTGGGTCTGTAAACTCTGATGATGTGCCGGGGAGGTTGAGCTGCAAGATGAATTTTTGATTTAGCAGGTTTAAAAGCTAATGGGATTCAAGAGCTAGATCTAAGAGAGCATACAGCTATCCAGCCACAAAGAATGGAGCAAGGCTCAGTTAGTACCATAATAGCATCTGAAAGAAAAAGAAAGCCCTAGAAGGAAAGATTATCTTTTCTTTGCATCAGGATGGAAGGGAAATAGATTTTCTTGCTGTTGTCACACGCAGCCAGGTTGTCTGTGCTCTCTCCAGGCCTCGGTTCCCTCTTTCTCCAGCACTTTGTCGTGTCTGTTTAGACTGAAAGATCTTCAGGGCAGAGACGGTCACTTAGAGGGATTTAGAAGAGGGCAATGGCACTCTGATCTTGCTGGGGGCATGCAGATGGCACAGCAATTGAATCCACCAGGTATTTATATTGCAAAGAGGAAGAGAGACAGTGTCTTCAGCCAAGAGTTGTTCATCCCTGCTTTTATCAGCTCAGCTGGAAAACCGAGGGTTTCCTGCTCGTGCCACGCACCTCAGGGAGGAGTTTCTTACAGCCAGGATCTTGTGAGAGCACATGGCAGCTGCCACTCTGCTTCTAAACACCGATCTGTGGCCACAGCATGAAGTAGGGAAGAAAGCATGGTTTGTGGTTGGCTTCTGTTTCCCTGCTCCCTCTCAATCTCTGCTTTTGGAGAGTCGTGTGAGATCTAGGTGTTGCTGGGGTTTGTGCTGGCTCCCCAGCCGTTTTCTCCTGGGAATGTCTCTTTGCTTCCCTCTGAGCTGTGTCCCGGCAGCCAGCTAGGAAATAAATCCGATGGCGCTGTGTTCATTTCATTTGGAGTGATTAATACTAAAAAACTACAAGTAATACCCATGGGAAGTTTACAGGGAACATTTTCTGCAATTAAAAATAATGCCTGGGTGACTGCCTGTGGGTTATGTTACAAAAAAGTACTATTCCCCCTCTCTGTATGTGCAAATCAAGATTGTAAAGGGGAAACATTAATAGTCGATGGATTGACTGGCCGGGGAGGTGGTTTAGTTGCTGTTTCATTCTACAGTAGCAATTACCTGCGCCTGCTTTCACCAGTTGCTCACTCGGGTACCTTTGGGTAAAGGCACTGCGTGGGGAAATTCCTAGGGAACTGGAAAAGAAAGAAGGTGTTTGGGCAAACAAGAAGATGAAGCTGGCTCTTGAGCATCAAGTGGTCTTCTTGGCACTTACAATGTGCTTCCGCATGCTGCAGAATCTCAGGTCCGATCCTTACCATCTGGACCAATAATCAAGGCTCCATTAGAAACCCAGATTCATTGTAAATTAGAACATGTAATTAGAAAATGTGTCTGCTAATTGAGTCCCTTTGATGTAAGCTTCAAAATGTGATGCTGATCCCACACAGAAAGGGTTTTTAATGCCTTTTATTTATATACGTTTTCCCCCATTTATTGTTATTTGCAGCTCAAACTCTTTGCTGATCAGAAATATTCAGAAATTCATCTTGCAAAGAGCAGTGTCACTTCAGCTATTTATAAACACGATGCTGGCACAAAGTGCCATTCAGTAAATTCCTTTTTTTAGGTTGCTTCTTCCTCCCCTTCCCCCCGTTTTTTCCCTTTCCTTTATATTTCCAACTACAAAACAAGAAGTTTCTATTTTAGTTCGCGCAGAAATGTTCAGAGCAAGCCAAGTGCTGATGATTCAGTAGGTGGCACTCCTCCCTCTAAGTCCGCTCTCTGCCGATGGCAGCCCTGGCACGATAAGGATTTTGCCTTCTGAAAGGTGCTACCTCTCAGGAGCGGTGGGAAACGGACTCCTTGAACTCAGGCGCTCACCCAGCATCCCAGAGCACCCTCTGCAAAAAAAAAAATCAAGGTGTAAAACTCGACGCCACGGCACACTTCCGACTAGAATAATCTCAGTTTAGCTCTCTGCAGTCCTCCCTGCGGTTTTAAATAGTGGCGGTGGCCTTTACTTACAGTCTGAGGAAAGTACCACATGCTCCTGTTTGGTGTTAAGTGGCT